GTCCAAGATTAACCTTCAGGGTGGATATAGCTCGCTAGCAGCCTCGCACCGAGGACCTATCCACGTCACCATTTACCCAGAATGCTTTGTGTGGAAATAAAATGGCTCAGTCCGTCTAATACATTTTTAAAAATTCCGTTAAAAATTTTACAAAACTAAACAGTCTACAGTATTTTTACAGTCTTTATTTTACAGTTAAAATAAATGTTTATCAAATAAAGTCTAATGTTACAACTAATCGTGGATCCCTTTAACGAGCCTTAAAACCTGTCATCAGAGCCAACAATAAAATAATTACATGATTATAAACAGTTGAAAACGACATTAGAACAGTATGTCTTGGTGTGTTCAGGTCTCGGCATGTTGGCCAGCGTGTACACCGACGACGAGGAGCGAGGCGTGGCCATGGGCGTGGCCCTGGGCGGGCTGGCGCTGGGAGTCCTGAGTGAGAACCAACATGGAGTCTGAAGTGATGTTCCGGATGTGGAACCAAATGTTTTCCTGATTGTATTTGTTGTCGTTACAGTTGGAGCCCCGTTTGGCAGCGTGATGTATGACTTCGTGGGGAAGAGCGCCCCCTTCCTGATCCTGGCCTTCCTGGCCGTGTTCGACGGAGGTGAGGAGTGAAACGACGACTTGCCGTAGCATTTGGTCTATTTTTCATACAGAAACTCTGAACAGGTCCTGCCATCGCGTGAGTTGATTCTAACGTTTCCATGAGGAAGAGGACATTTCTAGAAACATTGCAGAGTTTACGAGAAGCTTTTTAAGAATGACCTCAGACTCTGTGCTGCCCCCTGCAGGTGGATCAGTGAGATTGGTCTCACCTGTCTGTGTTTGTGTTGCAGCGTTGCAGCTGTGCATCCTGCAGCCCTCAAAGATCTCTCCTGGGGTGAGTCCACTTTCAAAGATCTTACTTCCTGTTGTGTAAAGTCCAGTTGACATTGTCCTGGATTTTATTGACATGAAAACCATCTGTTGGTTCTGACCCACACTGAGCAGTTTCAGCTCTCTTTGTGTTTCAGAGTGTGGAGGGAACACCTTTGCTGACTCTGTTGAAAGATCCGTACATCCTCATCAGTGCAGGTAAGCAGCTCCTCATAACATCCCACCCTCGCCTGAATGAACTCATATTAAAAGTGTCTGAATTCTATGGACACACTGAGAGTTTCCACACCACAGAGGTTGAGGTTACGCCAGTCTGACTCAAAGCACACAAGAGTCTGGGACTGGGCAGTCGCTGTTGTTCCAGTAACTGCAGGACCTGGAGACAGAATAGTCAAAAATTACAATTTTGAGCCAAGTTTAGACAGGAACTGATAAATGACCGAAATCTAAGGTTTGGGATAGCTCTCATCTCCCTGTCAAGGAAAATTCTAAGTACACTGGTTGGAGTCCTAACTGGGCACAATCTGCTCAACAACCACAAAATGATGATGGGACTCCATGACAATGGTCTGTGTGATGCCTGTGGCATTGAACTACAGACCTCTTTGCACTACTTAGACCACTGCCTGGCTCTGAGCAGTCAAAGGAAAAGAATTCTTGCGGACCCCTGTATGGATCCTGAGAAGCACTGAGTTTCTAACCTGGTTTCCTTCATCTGAAGGACGAGAAGGTTTGATTAAAGACCAGAGTCTCTTTGGGGGGACAAATGAGACCACTTATGAGACCCCAACTCACCAAACTAAACCATTTCAAATCCCAGAGTCTGTCTGTCTGTCTACAGGATCTCTCTGCTTCGCCAACATGGGCGTCGCCATCCTGGAGCCTACTCTGCCCATCTGGATGATGCAGACCATGTGCTCCCCGAAATGGCAACTCGGTAGGATCCGATCAGAGATCCAGAATCCTGATTAGATTAGTTTAAAGATGGATTAAAATCCATCCACAATGATACCTCCAGGTGACAGCATCGGTGTGGTTTGTGTTACAGGTATGGCCTTTCTTCCAGCCAGCGTCTCTTACCTGATTGGAACCAACCTGTTTGGAGTTCTAGCCAATAAGATGGGACGGTCAGTGGGTTTGTTTTCTTGATCCAATGTAGACCTGGTCCTGTTCAGACCTGGACCTGTAGAGTTCTGGTGGACCAGATGCTGGTAGAACCTGATGGATATTTGTGTCTCTGCAGGTGGCTCTGCTCCATGTTGGGGATGTTCATCGTTGGTGTCAGTCTGCTGTGTGTGAGTCCATCCGTCCATCCATCCATCCATCCATCCATCCATCCATCCATCCATCCATCCAACCATCCATCCATCCATCCATCCATCCATCCATCCAACCAACCATCCATCCATCCATCCATCCAACCATCCATCCATCCATCAGTGTAATTTTGTAAATACATGTGTTTTTTTTCGTCTCAGGTTCCTTTTGCCACCAGTATCTATGGTCTGATTGGTCCAAACGGAGGTCTTGGCTTTGCCATAGGTGACTTTCCTCATTAACATGTTTTTCAAAAATGTTTGATGTAATTAAACATGTTCTAGGTGTGAAACTAGGATGATGTTTGTGTGTCAGGTATGGTAGACTCCTCCATGATGGCCATCATGGGTTACCTTGTGGACATCCGCCACGCCTCCGTGTATGGCAGTGTGTATGCCATTGCTGATGTGGCGCTGTGTATGGGCTTTGCTATAGGTAACACAAAAACACTGAAGGAAAGGAAAGAATGTTGACTTGAGAGGGAAAAGGCTGCGGTCTTCATGAAATACACAAATCATGCAGACGAGTTTAATGTAAATCATTTAATAATAATAAAATAAAAATTGTTTTCTGTTGTTTCAGGGCCGTCCACAGGGGGCGCTCTGGTCCAGGCGGTGGGTTTCCCTTGTCTTATGGTATTTATTGGAGTGATCAACATCCTGTACGCTCCACTCTGCTTCCTGTTACGAAACCCGGCTGTTCGAGAGGAGAAAATGGTAAATACTGAACACGAGATGAAGCAGGTCAGATGATCCATCATGTTAGGGAAACAAATTTATGGTATTTACCAAAAACTAAAACAAAATCAGCTCGGTGGTGGACCATGAACTCCTCTGTAGACCAAAGGATTCTAGAGTCAAAAACAAGAACCGATGGTCCAGTCAGAGTGTTTTTGTGGTTAAACCTTGTGTACTTGTTGTGATTGTTTGGATCAGGTGAAGTCTCCTGCCTCACCTTCTCATGATTCCTGAACATCTTTAGAAAAAAAACAATCATCTCTTTTTTTTATTGCCATCGCTCTGCTGTGGTCGATTAAATCAGCTCAGACTCAGCCAGGCGGCAGGTTCCGACACATCAGCAGGAAGTGTGTGTTTCTGTGATGTGGAGGCCAAAGTGTGTGTTTGTGAAGTCATTACACAGCGATTAAACTGATCACAGATCAGAGGTAGCCTCCTTCAAAGCTGCAGTGGAAACATTTCTGCCTGATAAACTGTTAATTACACACAAAGACCTGCTGGTTAATGTATTCATCCAGGAGGAGTGGTCTTCGTGTTTCACACAAACCTCTTCTGACAAAAACACAAACTCTTGTTTTTACCATTTGGTTCCTGAAGGTGCAAAAACATCTCATCTCAAAATGTTGAATTAATAAGGTACAAAGTTTTGAGATGGATTTTAAGTCTTTTGGCTCTTTGATTAGTATTTTCAGTCTTAAATTTTCCTCCTCAACATCTAAGCTCAGTTCTGGTGTTCCACATGGACTCATTATAGGACCCCTGCTGTTCTGTACTTTACGATGGATTTTACAATTAGGTCCAGGCTAAGTCAAAAGATAACGAGAAAAAACGTCATTTTAATAAGAAAAAACAAAGCCTAGATAAAGCTGTGTTTAAGGACAAACTTACCAATGTGTTAGCTTACATCAGATGTTCTCAAACTACAGTCCGTGAGAAAAAATTTCACTAAATTTGTTTTTTATTTTTAAAAGTGCATGGAGAACAATGAACTAATGAAACAAACAAACTAAACAAAAATATGTATTCCCATGGCATTTGGGGGTTAAAATGACAGTAAATCATCTTTTTTTTGATCAATGTCTATTTTATTATTTTGTAATTCACAACAAAAAACAAACTAACAAAAACACAAACACGCGAAATCCCACCCATCCCACTCCCTTCTATACCGGATCTACTGAAACAACAAAAGTCGATCTTGTATTAATACAAGTGATACAATAAACAGGTTTGTGTACAATGAAACATTATTTAACCTTTACACAAAGTTATCTGCCGAATTTTTTCTACATAAGATAAAAATGGCTGCCAAATGTCCAAGAATTTGTTTACAGATCCCTTAACAGTATATCTAATCTTCTCTAAATGAATGTAAGACATAACTTCTCTTAACCAGTGACCATATACTGGAGGATGTGGATCCTTCCATCGAAGAAGAATAAGTCTTCTAGCCAGTAGAGAGCAGAAAGCTAACCGTCCTCTGATGTTCACTGAGGGAAGCCTCTGCTGGAGCCACCCCAAAGAGAGAGATGAGTGGTGAAGGATGAACAGTTCGTCCAAATAGTCCTGAAAAGATGTCAAAGATGCCTTGCCAGTATCCATGTAACTTTGGACAGAACCAGAATGTGTGCAGAAGTGTGGCAGGAGATTGTTTGCAGCGATCACACATCGGATCCAAGTCCTTTTTGAATTTACACAATCTGTCCTTAGACCAGTGTAGACGATGTACTACCTTCAATTGAACTATAACATGTTTCACACATATTGAGGATGAATATACAGTATATTTTGAATATTTTTTTGCCAAACTGTGTCTGATATGGATTCCTCCAAGTCCATCTCCCACTTGCCCTTCAAAGAATCTAAACTGGAGTCAGAAAATGAGCTGAGCAGAGAATAAACTCTGCTCATAGAGCGTTTTGTTACAGACTTACACATCAGAATCTCATCTATAAGAGAAGTTGGGGGGCGTAGAGGAAAACATCCAGAGTTTGACATTACAAAATGTCTGGTAAATTATCTTTTAAAACAACATGGGGTTTATTGGGGGGGTCCCTGGAATTTTTTCGCCCTTGGAAGGGGACCCCAGACCTAAAAGACCTAATTGTTGGCTAATGTTGATTAGCTGTGGCGGCCACCTTGAATGGGGCTGACTTCAGACGTCATTATGTGTGTGTGTGTGTTTCAGGCGATCATCGACCAGGAGTGTGCGATGCACAGGAAAAACTACAACACCCACAGGGAGAGTCGCGAGTTTCCTCTGAGCGACTACAGCGAAGAGGAGGAGACTGAAGAGTGATGCCTGTGTTTGTGTTGTGACGTCGTCTGTCAACAGATTGTTTACGAGCCTCGTCTGCAGGTTTACAGAGTTACTACCGGGAACACATTTATGCAAAATGGTTACCTTCAGCTGATGTTTACGAAGCCCCGCCCATTTTTGTATATGTACATGCATGTTCGGTTACCCTCCCCCCTAACAGAAAACAAAACTCTTCAACAGGCTTCATGGTTTTTGTCATTTGTTTATCTGAATCAAACATTTAATCTCACGGACTGCATGAGTGGCTCCAACCACCCGCTTCGGATGTTATCATCCATGAAATGGACGTTATTAGGCGTTATCAGTCCCCTAGAATGGCTTCAGAATGTCCCGCCTGTGCCGGTTAGCAGGTTCCCCGTCCCATTGAATGGCTTCCGATTGTCAGCTGGTTAATATGAAGCATAAAACCACTATCTGGTTAATATGAGACATAAAAAATCTGGTTAATTTGAGGCTTAAAGCCAACAAGGTCAACCTCAGAGCTGATGACACAGTTAGCTCTAACCTCCGACGAACATATGTTGTGGCCTCTCAAACACGCAATGGGTAGAGTGTCGGACCAGAGAGTGATCGACCAGGGCTCGAGTCCGACATGGACATAAAAAAATTATTACAATATATTTTGGTTATTTGCCATATTCATTGTCATTAATATATTAACCCACTAGAGGGCACTGTCGGGACAGTCTGAAGCCTAGAAGGCACAGTAGGGACCCTCTGAAGCCATTGTATGGGACTGATAACACCTAATAACGTCCATTTCATGGACTGATAACATCAGAATCCCCTGCTCCAACAGATCCCAGAACCAACCTTGAAGATCTCAGTCCGAGGAACAGGGATCCTGAACAGGACCCTCAGACCTCTGTAGAGGACCAGCCTCTCTGATGTGAGCGGGAGTTTCTTATCTGCTCTTTAATTTCCTGTCGGCGCGGCTCCTCTTCAGAGGAGACAATAAATGTGACAGGAGCTCCTTCAGGTGGAAAGGTAAACAGGAAGTGGATGAAAAGTTCAGGAGTCGTTTCACAAAGCGCCTCTGTTATTAAACCTTGAACTGGGTTTCATCACATTTCAGAATAAAAGCTCCTGTCTGTTTGTCCGGAACAACCGGCGATGAAAAGTCAACATTTGTAGGAGTTTAGTTCTTAAAGTTCAGCTCAAAGTGCCACACTGAGTGTTACGAGGTGTGTGTGTGTGTGTGTGTGTGTGTGTGTGTGTGTGTGTGTGTGTNGTGTGTGTGTGTGTGTGTGTGTGTGTGTGTGTGTGTGTGTGTGTGTGTGTTGATAACACCCTCTGACAGCACATCACAGCAGCTTCAGAACATTTCCTCCTGCTTTGATCCTGAAGAACCTCTGCAGAACCATCAAAGGTGTTTGAGCCCTTTGTGTCGGAGCTCTGATGTGGTTCTGTCTGTGTACACGGGCAGGAAACGCTGCGCTCTTTGAATCTGGATCTCTGAGGGTGATTTACGCTTAATAAGAGGTTAGAAATCATTTAAAAGTGTGTCGCAGCTTTAATCTGCTGCTAATATCACCACAAACACACATCCTTCAGATGTCGCTAACACTGACCCGGCCTGTGCAGACAGGTCCGGGCAGCCGACACCATCACTTTAATTTAGGTTAAAAACTTTAAACCTTTTTTTTTAATTTCTGAAAGTGAACATTCTGCTGCTGAAAACAAAGTTTTTAAAATTTATTTGGATTGAACTGTTGTAATTTCCCACATAAAGCCAAAAAAGATAAAATTGAAGGAATAAAGCTTCAGTTTAAATTTGTCTGATCCTTTAATTTTTTTACGAAATTAAATAAATAAATAATAAAAATGAGAGCTGCAGAGCTTTTCTAATAACAGAAAGATCAGATTTTTAAATAAAAACTTGTTAAAAGTCATTTAGTTCTGAGTTTAACTGTGAAGGAAGGAATGCATATTGTCCATCACTTTCCATAAGTTTTGGTCAAGATGGCCGCCACAGCCACATCAAAAAACACGTTGATCAGATCACGTGTTGAGGCCGACTCTCAGACAAACTTTACCTCATTAACTTTACATTTCTGTTAGTTGGAGACTTTTTTGTCACGGTTGATGTTGATCAGCTGTGTCGGCCATCTTGAATTAATTGAATCATCTTGTAAAACCAGTTTTGAGATTTAAAGGTCAGAAAATGGCGGCCATCTTGACTTGGACAAAATTCAAAATGGCCGCCATTATCCATAAAACAATATAGCCGTGTTTTACATACAATAATATTAAAGAACAATAAAGAAAAGAACGATAAGCTAGAAAAAAATATTATGGATAATGGCAGCCATTTTGAATTTTGTTATTTTAGTCATTTTATATTTTCCATAATACTGTAGTTTTCTTTTATTCAGTTCAGTTAGATAGAAAATTTACCTAACAATCCTGCCGCTGACGAGGGCACAAATTTACAAAACATTTAAAGGGGACATATTTCTAACAGAAGTAATCTGGCTGGAGTGAGCTTCACACAAATTAAAAATAAATAAATAAAAGGTGAGAACACGGGACATATTTAGATTTTCATGTTGGGAGGAAGGAGCAACACATAAAGGAGCCAAGGGACAAAGCTACAGAAAATACAGTTTCAAACTAGTAAGAAAAGAATAATTGATTTCAGTAATTTCTTGCCTATTTGCTGAGTGTTGTATAAAGTACCTCCAGGTGATACTTGAGTAAAAGTACAAGTATCTTATCATAAAAATACTTTGGTAAAAGTTAAAGTCTTCTCTAAAAATATTACTTGAGTAAAAGTACAAGTATCTTATCATAAAAATACTTTGGTAAAAGTTAAAGTCTTCTCTAAAAATATTACTTGAGTAAAAGTCTTAAAGTATCTGATATTTTTTGTACTTAAGTATCAAAGGTAAGTTTCTGACACAAAGTCTACTTAAGTATTAAAAGTAAAAGTACAGAGTAAGAGTGAGCAGTTAGATCTTCCAAAATGACATTTATTGGGAGGTGACTTCTCAAAAAATATTTTTTTTCTAACTGCGTGCAGCTGTGATGGGTTGTGTACAAGCTAATAGTGTGTCAGAATGGTATATATTTATACTTCTCATCCAAACACAATTAAATTCACTCTATAGGAGACACAGTTTATCAGGAGAGGATTTTTAAAGTAACAACTCAGAATAAAACAGGAGTAACGAGTAGAAAGTACAGATAATTGTGTAAAAATGTAATGAGTAAAAGTAAAAAGTACGCTGAAAATAATTACTCAAGTAAAGTACAAATACCCAAAAATTCTACTTAAGTACAGAAATAAAGTATTTGTACTTACCAGTAACTTTACAACTCAGAATTTGCTTAAGTTTGTCACTTTCAGAGAGAGAAGATAAAATAATAAATAAACCAGTTGAAGGAAAGTTTATTGTTTCTCCACATTAACATGTTTACGTCATTGAAGGAACTGAAGTTCTCCATGAAAAAAAAAACAATGTGGAAAATATTAAGAGATGGAAGATTGTGGATTTTGAGGTTAATAAGAATTTTTGCAAGATGTCAAACTTTCATAAAGAGAAAATGATATTTACTCATATCTATTCTCCACATGGTTCAACTCTCTGTAATAACTGTTAATGAATAAACAGTCAGTTCTCCAGAATCCACAGAAAAATGGAGCCATTTTTCTCCGGAACCACACGTGGCGCTTTGTTTTGTACCCAGCCGGAAACCGGAAACACTCGGTCCGTCTCGTTAAATGTTCCGCGGGAAGTCGGTGGGTCAGCGCAGGTCGCAGTAGAGTTTTCCTCTAAAATTAAACAAAATTTGAACGGAGTTTGGCGGAAAGGAAGAAGAACGACTCGGAGAGAACAGGCTGATCTCAGGTTTGACCCGGTCCACAACAGGCTGTTCGGTGGTTCCGAAAACAAACAATAAACAAACAGCACAGATAAACAACACAGCACGAGGGATCCTCTCATTCTAAACAAACAGGTGATGTCACCGTGATTATAGTTCAGTTTGTTTTACAGTGAGCTGGTGGCTGAGAGGCTGACATGTTTCTGTAAATATAAAAAGTGGAAGAAAACAAATCAATATTTAAGACATTTGTTTTCTACAAGTCGACATTGTTTCTCCTCAGAGGAGGATTTAATTTAATTTAATCTCTGGTATCAGACGCGGTGATATGTGTAATTTTAAGTTAACTTATTTTATTTTGTTTCTAAACATCCAAACAGGAAGAATTTCCTCTTCAGGATGGAGCTGTCCTCTCTCCTCCACGACCTTCTTCTCTCCTCAGAGAAGCCCCTCCCCTCTCCTCGTCTTCCTCCAATCACAGAGCTCCTCTCTTGGCTGCAGAAGAAGCTGATTGGTGCAGCTGATAAACCCACTGACCGCAGCTCCCTGATTGGTCAAGTGGAGCAACTCTTCCAGGCCGCAGATCCTGATTGGCTGTTCTCTACGGCGTCAGATGACCAGGAGAGCCGGTGGGAGGAGCTTCAGGCAGCGTACAGCTTTGTGATCAGCGCTCTGATTGGCTGTGCAGCTCTGCCGCTCTGTGAGGACGACTGCAGCTCAATGAGCGCCGCGACCTATCAGAGCGTCCCGAGTCGAGCCGCAGCAGTAAGCTCCGCCCTCTCGGCGCTGCTGGGAAACTGGGCCAAAGTGGGCGAGTCCAGAAAAGAGTTGACTGGGCTGCTTTTGGTTCTGGCTCCGCCCATCTGCGTGTTCTCCGTCACACATTTCCAGGTGAGTCTGCGAACAGGTGTGATGCTGTGAGCTGGAGTCGGTGCTGATGCTGACAGAGCTCGGTTTGTTGCCGCTGCAGGATCAGGCGTGGACCAGCCCCGCCTCCCGGGCAGCGGCACGGCGTCTTCATGAGGCGCTGCTGAGGGCGGGCAGCTGGACAGACTCCGCCCACCTCCTGATGGGGGACAGAGACGTGGAGAGCAGAGGGATTCTGGGAGGAGTTCTGGACCTCCTGCAGCCACAGCTCGCCAAGTGAGACTCGTCTGAAGGAAGAGAGGGAAAAACAGTCTCACTCCTCCGAGAGCAGAAAAAAAGCTAAAGATAGCAAACAGCTAAAAGTATCAAACTGGTAGGTAGAAGCTAAATGTAGCTAAAGGAGAACCTAAAGGTAGTGAGATATTAGCTAAAAGCTAAAGATAGCAAACAGCTAGTTAATAGCTAAATAAACAAACAGCTGAAGGTATCAAACTGGTAGGTAGAAGCTAAATGTAGTTAAAGGAGAACTTAAAAGTAGTGAGATATTAGCTAAATGCTAAAGATAGCAAACAGCTAGTTAATTGCTAAATAAAGCAAACAGCTAAAAGTATCAAACTGGTAGGAAGAAGCTAAACATGGCTAAAGGAGAACCTAAAAGTAGTGAGATATTAGCTAAAAGCTAAAGATAGCAAACAACTAGTTATTAGCTAAATAAACAAACAACTGAAGGTATCAAACTGGTAGGTAGAAGCTAAACGTAGCTAAAGGAGAACATAAAAGTAGTGAGGTATTAGCTAAAAGCTAAATAAAGCAAACAGCTAATAGTATCAAACTGGTATGTAGAAGCTAAACATAACTAAAAGAGAACCTAAAAGTAGCGAGATATTAGCTAAAAGCTAAAGATAGCAAACAGCTAGTTAATTGCTAAATAAAGCAAACAGCTAAAAGTATCAAACTGGTAGGTAGAAGCTAAACTAGCTAAAGGAGAACCTAAAAGCAGTGAGATATTAGCTAAAAGCTAAAGATGGCAAAAGGCTGACCAATAGAATAAGAGCTAAAAGAACCAAGATGCTAGTATGAAGCTTCACACAGCTAAAGGAGAACTTTACGCAGCAGGAGGAGGTTCTGTTCTCCAGAACCGCTGTTGACGTTTGGTTCTGGTGTTTGTGTCGCAGGAACACGTGGCAGCGCTGCGAGGCCGTGAAGCTGGTGTTTGTGTGGACCCTCCTGCAGGTGACCCGCCCCTCGCTGTCCCCCCACCTGCCACGCCTCCTGCCCCCCTCCCTCCTGCTCAGCGACCACTACAAGCAGGAGAACTGCATGCTGGGAGTTCGCTGCCTGCACCACATCGTGCTGAACACGGTCAGAACTTTGGTACCTCTGAGTCCGTTAGCAACAAAAACCAGAGTCCTGAATGACAGAGCTGTAACAGCTGAAAGAAGCTAAAGGCTAGCTAATAGCTAAAAGTAGCAGAATCGTAGCTAAAAGCTAAAAGTAGAAAAGTAGCAAACAAAAAAGTAGAAAAAATACTTAGAAACTAAAAGTAGCTCGAAGTTCATCAGTTGTTACAGAACTGTAGCTAAAAGTAGCACAATGACAGCTAAAAGCTGTTGCAGACTAGCTTAATGTTTAAAAAAGGCTAAATAAGAGTAAAAGTTGTAAAAAGAACTAACTGAAAGTAGTGAAACATTAGCTAAAAGCTACAGATGGCAAAACACTACGCAATAGCTATGAAACAAAAAGCCAGAATGACCAAACTGGTAGATGGAAGCTAAACATAGCTAAAGATAACCTAAAAGTAGTGTAACATAGCTAAAAGCTTAAGATAGCAAAAAGCTATTTAATAGCTAAATTAAGCTAAAGTATCAAACTAGTAGGTAGGTAAAGCTAACCTGGCTAAAGGATAACCTAAAAGTAGTGTAACATAGCTAAAAGCTTAAGATAGCAAAAAGCTAGTTAATAGCTAAAGCAAACAGCTAACAGTATCAAAGTGCTAGGTAGAAAATAAACATGGCTAAAGGAGAACCTAAAAGTATTGATATTAAAAAAAAGCTAAAGGCTGACCAATAGATAAAGAGCTAAAAGTACCAAGATGCTAGTAGGAAGCTTCATACAGCTAAAGGAGAACTTGCTAAAACAGATTTCAGAGAACTGTGTTTTTAAAGGAATTGACAAGATTTCCATGTCTTTGGGTCAAATATTTGTAAATAAAGTTTAATTTTTTAATATCGAAAAGTATAAAAGTTATAAAAACCAGAAGTCACAGCATTCATCTCCTGAATGAGCCGAACGTTTTGATATTTTAACAGCTAAAATAACTCAGAGTCTGCTGAAGTAGTGAGACTGAAAAAACATGAGGAAAAGGATAAAGTTGAAAAGTTACATTTATCAACGTTAAAAGTAGAAAAACCTGCAGGCCTTCACTGATGATGATGATGATGGTGGCGATGATGATGACGATGATGATAATTTATGTTCAGCCCGCTGCAGATCTTCGTCAGTTTAACAGAGCAGAGGTTCTGTATCAGGCTCTGTTCAGACACCTGTACACGAGTGAGGCTGCAGTCATCCAGGTAACACACACACACACACACACACACACGCACACACACACACACACACACACTCACTGCACATGCTCAGTGTCCTCTCCGTCCCTCAGCTCGTCCTCTCCTGTCTCCTCGACCTCCTTCTCGTTTTGGAGAGGCCCCCCTCCTCACTCGGCCCCGCCTCCTCGCGCAGGAAGCCCTGTCGCCACGACGACGTGCTGCGCCTGGTCCTGGCCCACATGGAGGCGGAGCATAAGGTGGCACTGCGACGCGTCTACGCCTCGGCTCTGCCGCTCTACGTGGAAAGGTGCGTTTGATTTTCACACCTTTTATTAACAGGAGGTGTGTGTTCCTCCTGTCACAGAACGACCAGTTCAACTCAAAACAAAACTAAATTTAGTTT